CCCCTTCTCCAAGGACTCAACCCTTTGTTTTGGAAAGCTTATGAATGTTATAGACTGTTGAAAAATGTTAGTCTACACGGGAGAGTTTGGATGAAGCCCCGCAAATTCCTAGCTGTGGGAGGATATTTCGACCAACAGTTCTGTGGGAGACAGGCCGACGGCTGCTGATAGAAGGCCCCCACCAGGCAGCTACAAAGGCACAGCTAGCAGGGCTCCTTATCATAGGGATGGCTGGACAGTTGGCTTGCCTGGCTCCCTCCTGCCTAACCCTATTGCTGGTCTGACAATGCTTGGCAGGCTATAGCTGTGACTCCACTGCCCTCCCTGGAGTCCCCACGTCTTGTCTTTGCCATCTCATTCAAGCTCCACAGATACCCTGCAAATTCCTATTCCATTGAATTCTCCTTTCCCCTAAGTCCAGTTGATTCTCATATATCCTTGCCTGAGTAGGATAGTCAGGGTTTCCCTCCAGTCTTTTTAAAATCTATTTTTATGACATTGAACTCTGTGCTCTCATTCTTTCAAGATCTTCCTTTCTGATTCTCAGGAGTCTTTTCTTTCCTCAATAATCTTGGTTCCTGCACATTGAGAACATTGTTTTTGTTTTTTACGTGGGTTCAAGAATCTATTTTATAATTACAATTTTATTTTTTATTTTTGTAGAGATAGAGTCTAACTGTGTTGCCAGGGCTGGCCTAAAACTCCTGGGCACAAGTGATCCTCCTGCCTCGGCCTCTCAAAGTGCTGGGATTACAGACGTGAGCCACTGCACCTGGTCAAGAGTCTGTTTTGTTTTGTTTTGTTTTGGTTTGGTTTTTTGAGATGGAGTCTGGCTCTGTTGCCCAGGCTGGAGTGCAGTGGCGCGATCTCGGCTCACTGCAAGCTCTGCCTCCCGGGTTCATGGCATTCTCCTGCCTCAGCCTCCCGAGTAGCTGGGACTACAGGCGCCCACCACCATGCTGGGCTAAGTTTTTGTATTTTTAGTAGAGACCGGGTTTCACCATGTTAGCCAGGATGGTCTTGATCGCCTGACCTCTTGATCGCCCGCCTCAGCGTCCCAAAGTGCTGGGATTACAGGCATGAGCCACCACGCACATGCGAGAGTTTATTTTAAGTCAAATAAACAGCAACGAGAACAATAATTGATCACTAGCAGTTTCTTTTAATTTTTATTCCTGCTTTATAATTCTGATTTCACGAAGGCAAAGCAGGTGCCTCTGACTGACTAGGGAATCACACATAAGGAATAAGAAAAAGAGCAACCTATTGTATCCCTACATAATAATAATAGCTTATATTTATTGACTACTTAGTCTGTGTCAGAACCTGGGGCAACACTCATAGATTATTTCATGTAATCAGCAGTGCAGTTTTAAGGGTTGTGCACCACTGCTCTTTGCGTTTTACAAGTGAAGAGAGTAGGAGTAGAACTCTGAGAGGTTAAATATCTTGCTATCCTTGTAGCACTAGCAAGTCAATGGTGAAACTAAGATTCAAACTCAGGAAATCTACCCCAAAGCCTGCACTCTTACTGGCTGTATTCTTAAATATTTTCTTTATCAAGGGATTAACATAATTATAGAAGTATTTTTGGAAGATTAGTCTGGCATCTGCAAGAGAGCCTAGAGAGAGAGCCTAGAGAGAGCCTAGTTTGGAGGTTATTTTGGTCTTTCAAAATGCCAGGAGCTTCAGGCATAAACTACAGTGGAGGTCCTAGGTGTTCAGCCTAGTGAACCAGGGTAGTGTGAGAAACATGAAGAGGTAGAGAAATTAAAAATTAGCAATTTGAGAAATTAATAGAAAAATAGACAGTATACTCGAGAAGTATTTTTCAAACTTTTTTCATAATAAAATCACCCGGGACACTTGCTAAAAATATAGAATCCTGGTCCCAACCCAAGCAGCCTGTCAGGAGATTTTCTAAGGGAATCTCTATTTTAAATAAGAGTCCTAGGTGATTCTTGTGATCAGGTAAAGTACAGAAGTCATCCTAGAATGTATCTTTTAATTTTTCCTCTACAGAAGAATTGCTTAATTACAGTGGCTTTTCTTAACTCACAGACACAATTTTCTTGTTTACAATTAGGAGCTGATGTGTAGAGTGGTTAGCACATAAGGCCATGACTGTTAAAAGCTTTTAGTCTAACTAGTAAATCATCCAGGTAATTTGAGGTTTTATTGCCATTGCATTGTTTATGGCAGCAAATCATGTTGATTTGCTGCTACCAGACACAAGGTGTAAAGTCATACGCCATAATTAAACGATATGTGACTTCTGACCCAGATACCTTTTGAAGATCCCATTTTATCAGCCAAGTCAGCCAGTTTTAAAGCAGAGTGGGTTAATCACTGAGACCATTTTGCCAGCTGCTTCTGTGGAGAGTCAACCAAAATTTCTTATAGTTGGTGGGTTCAAGCTTCATAAGTTTAGCTTTAGAATTCAATTGTGAAGCTGAGCTCAGATTTTAAACAATACATATTTTGGGCTGAAAATTCTCTTCAGTGTTTGTAATAGTCTGGGGAAATGAATGTAATAACCATTTTGACAGTAAATAGTAGCATATGCAATTTTTTTTTTACATACTAATTCCTTCATCAGTTTTGTATCTAATTACTAAGCACTTAGGAATAGAGGCTTCTAATTCAGAAATTGTCAAGTGAAGTATTAGGCATACTCAAGGCAGCTCACCAAAGGTGAGAAGTCCTCTTTTTTCACATATTTATAAACAAGGAAGTTAATTCTCTTTGTCTACTTCCCAGATACTCTTAGTAATATTTAAAGAATCTCAGAGAGGCTTGCAAGGATGTTCAAAGTCCAAAGTCCTTACCCTGAAAGAGCACACATTGCTCCTTAGGAGTCCAGTATTATCTCTAATGCAGCTCTATTCCAAACAACTAGTGTCCAATTTCACGAGCCTCTTGGTTGAGGAGTTCTCTGGCTTTAGCAGTATTTCATCTATCATTGAGAATGAGATGAGAATATCTCAACGATGGCAGGTAGGATTCTCCCTATTTTTCAGGTCTCTTGTAAAACAACATGAAGAAGCCAGAGGAGAGAAGAAATCCAGATTCTAGCATAGTTTGCATTTTAATTCTTGAATCAGGGCTGGGCTTTCTTCTTCTTAAGTTAAATTACGTACCGATCTCTTTATCCTAGAGGACAAATAGGTAGGGAAAATGGACCTGGGGTGATGTCAGAGACCATCCTTGAAAGTTTTAGAATCCATTAGTTTGCCCAGTTGTTGGTAATAGACTTTCATACCACTGATCCAATTCCAATCATTAGGGGACACCCAGGGATCTGTTTTTGCTCCAAATATACCAATTGAATTATATTTTCCTTATTTACTCATTTATATGTATGAGCATGGACACATGGATAAAATATTTTATACTTTGCAATATAATATTTTATTTTACTGCTATAATTGCTTTAGCTTTAGCCACTGGATGTTCTTGCAGTATAGCTTCTTTGTCTTTTTCACATGTCCCCTCCTTTACTTTCTGGTACCCCAGGATGCTCTAGACTCATCTTGTATATTTTCTCAAAAATGGGAAGTCATCAGCAAGTAGAGGTTTGTTGAGGCTATCATACTATGAGAGTGTGTGGAAGTGCAGATTACAAAAAGAAGTGTGCTGAGAATGAAATCTAATGCCAAGATTTCATTTTCAGCACCCTCCTTTTTATAATTCTTTAAAAAATGGTCACAGGAAAGATATTCTTAGAACAGATGGAGAAAAAAACTAGTAGGAAAACAGAAATAATCAGAAGGAGATAGAAACAAATGTAGGATACTTCCAAAAGTAGGAGATAGAACTAATATGAATTAGTTATTTGTTGATTGCTGCAAGAAGGCTTCATGAAATTCTGGGAAATACATGAGTCAGTGACGCATAGATAAGCTTATTGTAGGTGACGAATTGTGGGCTCTCAAAACTCTGTGGTTCCCCTCAGAGGGCTGTAAAAGTTAAAGCAATTTGATTGGTTTTATATTCAAGGAAAAATATTAAAGAGTTAACTAGTGAAAAATTAAGCCTGAAAAACAGAAAATAATGAATTTTCTACAAAATAAACAGTTGTATAAATCAATTCGTTGTATGATCAAAGGAGAGCATATCTGAAGGAAATGAACTGGGAAGAAGAATGTGCTTGATGGGGTATAGAAGTGGGGGTGTGGGGTCCTGACAGCTGGATCATGAAGCATAGAACCTGAATCTATGACTTACCTTCTCTTGGGATTTCTCATTGATTACTCCCTAATTCTATCACTTTACTAACTACAAGGAGGTCTGTTTCTACTTTAAAATATGTTCAAATATAGGTAAATGTCACTTGGAATATCCCAGAACACAACCATACTGAGGAATACAGAGGATACTAGAACTCTTAGTAATTTGGCTTTGAAGATGCTGCTACCTTTAGCTTCAAGTTCATAAGTTCTTGATTTCCCAGCCTCTCTCCCTAGGCCTGATGCCAATTTTAATACTCACTGCCCAAGACACTTCCCATATCCCTGTGTGCCAAGTGTCTAGAATAATGCCTGAACTATATTAAGTAATCAAGAACTATTTGTTGAATGAATGAATGTGTGAATGAATTAATTATATCCTAAGTTACATTTCAATATTTTAGAAAGATGCCATCTTATAGCATCAGCATACTTGTCTTTGTTTACCATATTACAGCTCTTGGGGTTTTTAGATGTTTGGTCTATTATTTTCCTGAACTTCACCCTCTCTCCTTTTTTCCTCCCTACTTACTTGTATGTCTCTCTTACTCTTGATATTGCCCTAGATCTCCTTGTAAAATATTTTGCAAAATTGTTCAGGCTTCCTGCATAACTCTGACTTGAAACATTATGCTTTAAATTTTTTCATATTGCTTCTCAGTATCTTTTCTAAAATAGACCTGTGTGATGATTATTTTTGGAGGGGGTATGCTTTTCACCATAACAAGGAATAAGAAAATTTAAATGTGCTATAATTTTTTATCTCCACAGATTGTTTTGCTTATTGGTGTTGAATTTTAATTAAAAACCAAACAACTTTTCCTATTAACTTGATGCTACTTATTAATTCAAATGAAGAGACTGACTCTGGATATTGGGAAAATTTATCGTAAGTCTTTAATAATCTTTTCTCATGGTTTGTGAATTATTTACTGGAGAACATTTGTTACAGACTTGGGCTTCACATGGTTTTCCTTGAGTCTCACAAGTAGCTTCCTTTTGAATAGATTTAGATTCCCTAAACATTTGGTAAATGCCTAGCACATGCCAAACATGTAGGTAGATGTTAGGAACTTCATTTACTCAATGAGGAAACAGATGTAAAGTGACTCAGTGACTGTGATCCAGCAACTATCCAATAACGATAGTCCCATAGTCAGTGAGAGAGGTAGGGTTAAAGTCTACCTCTTGGGACTCAAGTCCAGTACCTTTTCCCATTATATACTTGGTAAAAGCTGATTTTTAAAGATATATATATATATCTTTAAAATATATGAAATATATTGGAGAGTGTTCACTTTCTTCTGGGGTCCTCATAGCTTAAATGATACTTCATGGTTTTTATTTTGTGTTCCTTTTCTCTTAGTCTGGAATCGCAAATTGACCTCAAGATATATTTGATCAGGATGAATTCCAAACCTGAAATTAGTTGTTCTCTGAGCTCAGAGTTTTAGATTAAACATCTCTCTCTTGATATATATATCTAGGGTAAGTTATTTAAAATTATCCTTAATATCTGGAATAAGAGTTAAAATTAAGAAAAGTAAGTCCAATAATATTTGAAGTAAGCTTTAAATTGGACTTCGGTTATTTAGAAATGTTTTAATCACTAAACCACTGATTGAAATAAAGTATACGTGATGGACATAATATTAGACCATCAAAAGTCAGGGAACATGGCCTTGATGACAAACTTAAGAGAAGCATGGGAGGGTTTGCTGCTACTGAAGATTTTAAATTTTTAAAAAAGAAAATAGTGTGGTATTTGAATGAATTCCTAAATATAAGAAGCTATAGTTTTTGTAAATATTTGAATTCCAGAAAATAAAATTCACGGCTATGTATGAGAAAGGACATTAAAAAAAATAAGATGTTTTTGACCAGTCGCAGTGGCTCAGGCCTGTAATCCCAGCACTTTGTGAGGCTGAGGTAGGAGGATGGCTTGAGCCCAGGAGATCAAGACTAGCCTGGGCAACATAGTGTGACCCCCTTCTCTACAAAAGATAAAAAAATTAGTCGGCACGGTGGCATGTGTCTATAGTCCCAGCTACCTAGGAGGCTGAGGTGGGAGGATTGCTTGAGCCAGAGAGGGAGATCAGAGCCTGAGAGACTGAGGCTGCAGTGAGCCATCATCACCCTGCTGCACTCCAGCATGGATGACAGAGTGAGACCCTGTCTCAAAAAAAACAAAGAACAAAAACAACCAAATGTATTTGCTAACTTGCTACAAATATAAAATGATACTTTTTTTTTTTTTTTTTTTTTTAGGAGTTGCTCTTCCCAGCTGATCAGTGCGATTCAGCTACTGCAACTCGCTCCGTTTAGTCATTCTCCTGCTCAGCCTCCAGTACTGGACTACAGGCCCCACCCCCTAGTTTTTTTACTTTTTGTAGATTGTAAAAAATCAAGTGAAACTAAAACTTTGTGCTCTTTGATCATGATTTCCATTTTCCCTGTTCTTCCCACCTGCCTCCCCAGACCCTAGTAATCACCATTCCACTCTCTACTTCTATGAGTTTGACTAAGATTCCACATTTAAGTGACATCATATCATCATATGGTTTTATATATATATATATATATATAAAATCACGTTTTCTTTTTCCATTCATCCATTGACACTTAGGTTTATTCCGTATCTTGACCTTCATAAATAATGCTACAATGACCATGGGAGTGCAGATACCTCTTCAACATACTGATTTCAATTCCTTTAGATGTACACCAAGAAGTAGGATTGCTGGGTTATATTAGATGATCCACTGCACAGCATGGTCACTACATAGTTAATAATAATGTATTATGTATTTCATATTATTAAAAGAGTAAATTTTAAATGTTCTCACCATAAAAAGTAAGTATGTGATGAATGTGGGATATGTTAATTACCGTGATTTAATCATTCCCCAATGTGTGCATGTATCAAAACATCACATTGTACCCCATAAATATATGTATATATAATTATTTTGTCAGTTAAAAATAAAATACAAATAAAATCACTTTAAAATAAAAGAATCAGTTGAAAGCATTTCTAAGTATTTGAACATGTAATTGTTGATAAAACACACAATGATTTCACTGATTCCAGCTGAGCATTTTTCCACTGAGAGATAATATATTAAGGGAGTTTAGAAATATATTTTCAGAATTCTATATACCTACCTATCTCTTTCTATCTGTATATCCATTTATCACGTTTTGAAATTTTTTTAAAGTAAAAAATAATAAAATGTCTCTTGCGTACCAAATCAGCAAATTAAATTGATATAAATTCTCTCACATATGCTTGACTTAATGTAATAAATATATAACTTAAAACTTACCTTTCATCCCTTTCTCTTTCCTCTTTCTCCACAGGTGACCATTATTCTGAGTTTTTTAAATGCTTTATTTTTTCTAATTGAAGAAATGAAAATAGCAGTCATTCAAAATCCTATCGTATTATCTTTTGATCATCATAATAAGCAAATGCAAATAACTCTCCCTTGCTGAAACAATTAAATGATTTCAAAATATCAGTGTCAAAGCTGTTCCTTCTAAAATGTAAGGCAAATCTAATAGATTCTAAATATAGATTACAAACTCAAACGCCCTCAGGTGCCAGGCAGGAGAGATTAGAGAGCCACCTGTCAGAATAGAGCCGTTAGATTTAGTTTATCCCCAATTTGTAAAAGATGGATGCTGGTTGTCTTTTCAGAATGGCAAGAAATCGATAGACAATATTATCACGTAGTCAGAATCTTGAAAGAAGGCAGAAATTTTAGCATCTTTATTTCTAATTTCTAAATGTTGACAAAGATTTAAAATTTAAAAAGTACTTTGTATTTTAAATTAACTCTGTTGGAAGTCCAGCATCAGCTGTTGGGACTGCTACTTTGCAATTACGGCAAAGTGGGACAGCTACAACCATCTTTCTGGTTGAGTGCACTGTCCTCTTTACCCTTGCGAATTCACTTATTTACTAAACTACATTTGCTGCTCAAGTTTGGGCTTCCTGGATGTGATAAGTTCTCCATGACCTGGCATCACTCTGCCATCCTGCCTTCAACCCTGCTGCTCCCATCAAAGTGGCTTCCTTGCAGTCATCTGTCATATTCAACATTGTTTTTCCTCCACTGCTGAGCTCATGAAGTTGGTCTATGAATGTATCATATAGTAGAAAGAAACTGGATTTGGACAAAATTCTATGCTGATAAAAAGGAGAATGAGGCCAATGCTGTGGATGTATTTATATATCTGCTGAATCTGTCATTTAGGAATTAGAAAATAGTTGCTGCATCCTTTGTTTTAAATACTGCATACTTGAAAAAAGATAAATATTTTTTCAACCTTTGGTTCTTCAATTGAAAAATTTCAGCTCACAGAATCTTTCCCAAGATAGAGAATTTCTAAACCTATAATTATTTTTGTAACTTGCCTGTAAACTCTCCTTATATTTTTTATTCTTTTTGTTTCAAGTCTATAATATTTCTCATTGTTCAGAATGAAGTTGATAATATTTTAATATAAAGTAGAGTTACTGCATTCATTGCTATGTTCTGATTCATTGTTTACAGTGATTGTTTTAACCGTTTCTGAATCTGAGTTTTTGATTTGCAATGATTTTGTGAATTATTGTGACACGTTGGCCACTGTATTATACCATCATATTGAAGAGATATTAAGTCATTATTAGTCCATATTCCCATTTAAAGTGTTAAAATAGTATAAATGGCATACACTCTTCTTAATATCCTGGAATACTGAAAATGCTTTCAACCAAACATATAAGAATTTTAGAAAGCTAGACTCTGACATGAGCAATAAAACACACTAGGTCATTCAGAATAGAGATTCACTTAGTTTAAAAGTAGTTTTTATTGCTACATAATATTGTGAAGCAAACTATTCATCAGTAGCCTTAAGCATGTACTACCTGCATGAAATACAGGGACATCTGAAAGACTGGAGGAATAGGTTGGATTTCTTAGCCTCTTGTGGTTTCCTTATACTTTTTTCTGATCTTCCCATTAATAATCCATAACACCTAGCACCGGCTATCAAATATACAGAAAAAGCTTGTTGAATAAATGAATCAGTGAAGAAATTCATGATATCCTTTCAACAAATTCTTTATTTCTCTCTCCTATCTGTCGATTCCCATTGTATACATAATATCTACACATTACTAATGTATGGAATGTTATGTTCTTCCTTCAAATGAACACATGCCCTAATTCCTTAGTCTATTGAGATGCTTGACAGAATGTGACTTCTCTGGTCTAGACTTTTGTGGAAATATGTATTAGCTAGATGTGCAAAACATGACATGTTTTGAAGAGTGTGCTCAAAGTAAAGAAATGTTTCAAATTCCCAAAGCACAGCTTGAAGTATAGTTGTAATTGTGACTTGTTGGCAGAGGAAGGCAGAAGGAACAGTAGTTTGGCACCCAGAAAATAGAAATGCAGTGGACCATTTTTCAGCTGGAAAGTCAAGGAAAGATTGGAAATCAAAGTGATCAAGTGGGTGAACTTAGAGCAAAATTTTAGGAGCATAAAGCTGGGAAGCAAAACATCTGATTTTGTATCTCTTTTATCACTTGCTATGGGAAAACTTCAGTTTTAAATTTTTAATCAATGTGGTAGTACTAATAGTACCTACTACTACCTAATAGTACCTAATAGCATGCTTTTTTTGAAGATTAAAGAGGCACATTATAAAATACATAATATAGTACCTGATACATACTAAGGATAATAATACTGTTTTTATTGTTATAGAAGCTATAAATCAGAGAATTGTCACATTCTAAGATGTGTAAGTCTTTTCTGAGGAACTGACATATACAGAGCAAAATCATTAGAAGCATCTTTGTACATAATGCTGTCAAATGAATATGTTTTTCAT